CCCACCCCGAGTGCTCCGCCTCCGGGTCTTTTGTCTTCCCCCCAGGGTGGGCGGGGGGAGGGCCCGAGCGCGGGCACGCGTCCCGGCCGGGGGGGGGCAGGCGCTCCCCGGTTGCTGTGCCCAGAGAGCTTTGTGTCAGGAATGGTGCGCCGTTTGCATTGGGGCAAAATGCTTGATTGGGACGTCTTCCCCGTTTCATCCTGTTTTCTCGCGCTGGCTGCCTTCCCACCACACACTCCACACGGTTATGGAGTTACTCCTGTTTCTTGCTTCGCCCAAGTCATGGAACCAGAAGCTGGCCCGGTGGGAGGGGTTTGTGCGACACACTCAGCCCCAAGGAGATCTAACCCTGGTTTAAACTGAGCGTGCTTAGACTGTGGTCTGGGCCTTCCGAAACGTTTGCTCCCCAGCTGCAAAAAGGAGGGCTGCTTTCAGAAAGTCCCTTTTTCTTCCTCCCTCCCAGAACCTCCCCCCTTTCTGGGTCCTGATCCACATCATAGCTGGCCCTGCTTGCGCTGAGCTCCCAGGGGTGCTGTGGGGCTGGTTGAAACGGGTCCACCGGCTTCCTTTGCAGGAGGGCAGTTTGGGGCAGCCGATGGGAATCGGCTTCCTTTGCAGAGGCGGCTCTTTCCAGCTTTGGGGCCGCTTGCACGTCTCGGCATAGGTCCCACAACAAGCTTGCAGGGTAGGCTGCTCTCAGCACCTTCTGCAGGGGAGAGAAAAGGGGCTCATCCGAGGCTGCTGAGCGACTGGGCTAAAGCGAATGCACACCGTCGATTCTGTCTGGCTTTGCACGGCCGGGTCTTAGACGACTGGGGGGAAGTGGGGCCGAAGAGGTCTGCTGAGATCTGATCGGCCTCCTGCTCCACCCCACGGGTTGCTTTTCAGGCCGGAAGGTCCCTCGCGAGTTTTTTCTGGCTTCTTGATCTGTCTCTTCTGCCCCCTATGAACCTTTCCAGCCCCTCGTTACTGTTCCCTGGAAGCACCTGTTTTTATTCCCGTCCCCACCAAGGTGCGCTTTCTGCAAAGAGCCACCATAAGTGGCCCAAGCTGTCCCCAAAGGCCTCCTCCTCCCACCTGGCGCTCTCCGGCTGCACAGGGAGGGGCCGCGGCTCCCCAGTTCTTCACTGGCCTTTCTGGCCAGGAATGCGAGGAGCCCCAGGTTGGAGTAAAGTGCCGCCTGCTGCAGCGAAGGGAAGGAATTGGCTTGGCGCTGGGCTGCTTTAGGAGAAGGGGGGCTGGGCTGTGGCTTGATAAATCCCGTGCTGTGGCTGGTGGGAGAAGCCGGTCTGTTTCTCCCCCGCGTAGCCTTTGGGGTCCTGGTGGCAATGCAGTAGCTGGTTTTCGTGCTGCTCCGAGTTGCTCGGTCCTTGCTGTTAAAGTAGCCTGGGGCTGTTGAACCCGGCGGGCCTTGGCTTCTGGGAGGTTGAGGGGGCTGCTTCTACCCAACCTGGAGCCTCCCTGATGGATTGGACCACATCCCCCCAGAAGCCCTCAGCTGTGCCGGGTGGCCTTCTGGGAGCAGTAGTGCCCAGGCTGGCGGAGGCCAGATTGGGATGGCAACATGGACGCTTCTACCCTTTCTAGGTGAAGGAGCTGGTGCTGGACAACTGCCGTTCCGACGATGGCAAGATCAGCGGGCTCTCCCCTGACTTTGAAAACCTGGAATTCCTCAGCATGATCAACGTCAACCTTCTGTCCGTCTCCAACCTCCCCAAGCTTAACAAACTCCGGAAGGTGAGCGCCTGTCTTGTCGGTGGGCAGGGCGGAGGGACTGTCTGCAAAAACCTTTCTTCCGTGCGTGTGTCGTGGGCGAGGGGTCGGTTCCGAACTGGTCGGCTGTTTCGGGTTTTGTGCTTTCGAAAAGCACTTTGCAAACTTTAGGTGTCCACTCAAGGGGAACAGAAATTGAATTTGCACTCAAGTGAATCTGATTTGCAGAAACAAAAGATGGTGCCTACCTTATTTTGTAAGTGGGCTGTTCACCATAAATCATTCCTTTGGCAAGATGCAGGGGGAAACAGGGTGGAACATCGGCCACATCGCTGCAGCCACTGCCTCGACCTTTCTAACACCCCCCACTCGTGGATGTTCCTGCCTGATCCATCCGTGCCCTGCCCAGAAAAAACCCTGTCCTGATCTTCTGTCTTCCCCTGCTTTTGCCTTTTGTAGTGTACCCAAATTGTCCAGGCAACATCGCCTGCCCCTCAAACTGGTTTAGGGGGGGCTGGGGGAGCGATATTCCTATTTGGGGAACCTCTTGGGTTACTTCCTAGGTTGGTTTCAGACATGCATAGTCTTTGGGTCCCATCCTGTTTGACATGGGTCATCTTTGCATAATGGAAGTGTGTGTATTTCTTAGTCATCAGAAACTTGATATTGTCATTTTAAAGTGTAATTTTATAGCTGTCTTAATATCTGCAAACTGCCTAGAATCTGGGAGGGTTGAAGCATTTGCAAAATTGCACAATAAATCGGTGAAAATGGTGGGGGGGTGAAGAAAAGAATTCTTGCCTTAGTTTCCCCATTTGCCTTTTTCTGATCTCTGTTCTGGGAGGCCCCAGTACTGGAGAACCTTACTGGGTCTTTGTGAAAAACCGCCAGGAGCAGCAGGGGGTTTGCGTTCTTAGGAAAAATGGCTGGGCCACGTAATCCACGCGGAGAGGCCTCCACTTTTGTTCTGTGATATCTGGAGCCGTTTGGCGTTTCTCTTTCGGCAGCTGGAGCTGAGCGACAATCATATTTCTGGTGGCCTGGAAGTCCTTGCAGAGAAAACGCCTAATTTGACGCACTTGAACCTCAGTGGGAATAAAATCAAAGAGATCAACACGTTGGATCCTCTGGTGAGTTGCCGGTTCTGGGCAGACCGTCGGGTGAGCGATTGGTCTCGCCTTGGTGTGAGGGACGCGCAGGGGGTTCTGAGTTCCAAACAGGCTGCTCCAGCCATTCCAGAATGGGCTTTGGGGGCTTGGAGCTCACCTGGGACAATTGGGAGAGCTTCTGAAAAGGTTTCATTTTGTGCACCGGTAATGTGCCCCCTTCCCCGGCAAATGAGACCCCACAAAGTGGAGGAGGGCCCTTTCTGCCCGCTTGGGTCTTGTGGCCCCTGCGTTTAAAAAATCCCACCAAAGGATTTTTAGGAGGACTGGGCAAGGGGGGAAAATGGCTGAAATTTCAAGCCTTGGAGGTGATGGGGGGCTGTTAGAGTCACCTCTGGTCCCGTTTATACTTTGCACAATGAATTGTCTGCACTAAAGAAAGATACAGGTAGTCCTTGCTTAACAACCGTTTGTTCAGTGACCATTCAAAGTTACGACAGCGCTGAATGAAGGGACTTACAACCTGTGCCCAGAGTTAAGGTGATCTGGACCCTTGGCAATCGGTTCATCCTTACGACCAGTTGCCAAGCGCCCTGTGATCGTGTAATAGCCATTTGCAATCTTCCCTGCTGGCTCCCCCAGAAGGTCAGTGAGGAAGGCTGCAAGCCCCTGCCGCCTCCCTCTCGTCTCTGGGGGCTGCCTGGAAAATCCAAGTGGTTCTGAGGCCCCCGCACACCCAACCTGCACCCCTGCACCCCCTCACTCCTTTCCCCACCCAGCAGCGCCTGGGTCTTGCAACACGGGGGCACTCACTTAACCATGGCAAAAAACACACTAACTACTGTTAAATACAGGTAGTCCTCACCTAACAACTGCATCGCTTAGCGACAGAAGTTCCAGTCCCAATTGTGGTCGTTAGGTGAGGACTACCCGTGTTTAACAGTTAGTGTGTTTTTTAATCCTGAGTCTCTAGAATGTCATGGATTTTGGGTTCACAGAAAAATCATGGGGCTTCTGCCCCAAGGGACTAGCAACTGAACCTTGGCATGGGAGAAGCGAAAGTGGGGGGAGAGATATTGACTGCAGCGACGTCTTCAAAGGCAGGCTACTGGCCGAGTGCATTGCGGGGAGGGGAAGAGACAGCCCTTGTGCAGCCCAGCTTCTCTACGCGCAGGGTGGGGAAGGGGGCCAGATCTCCTGAATCAGGCCACCTTATTTATTTATTTAGCCGCATTTATGCAGCCGCCCATCTCACACAAAGCGGCTCTCCCCTTCCGTCTCCCTGCAGAAGAAGCTGCCGCACCTGAGGAACCTCGACCTGTTCAACTGCGAGGTGACGATGCTGATCAACTACCGGGAGAGCATCTTTGCCCTCCTTCCCCAGCTGATCTATCTCGATGGGTTCGACACCAACGACAAAGAGGCCCCTGATTCGGACCCGGAAGCCGACGGGCTGGACGATGAATGTGATGAGAATGGGGACGGTGAGTCCGGCCTGGCTTGGGGAGGGGGCTGAAAAGGGGTGGGGCTTTGATTGCATGGCTGTGGCCGCCATCTTGACTTTTCTGACCCTCAACTCTTGGAGGGCGGTATGCCTTTGGGATATCCCTGGTTGTCTCTGTTGAGCCTGTTTTAGGATTTGAACAACAGCTTTTCCAGACCTTGAGACGCCACATGGCTGTGCCGCTTCACTTATTTGGGGGGAGGGCAGACTCTGGGGCTGCAGAAAGGCCTGCGGTGGACTCAGACATGGCCATGGGGTCCCCGGCACGAGCAAGGATGTCCAACGCTTTTTAATAAGGTGGTTTCCTGCATTGACTTAAATTGTCCCTGTTTTTGCGACCTTGAGGTCTAGAATCCTTTACATATAGGGAAAAGGGAGTAACTTAGCCATGCGCCTTGCGCCCTGCATGGAGAAGGCCTGAGTTTCCTAGGGGCCCTGTCTGACCTTTGCCCTCCAGATTAATTGGGAGTTTAGTTCACCGGATTCCCTAGCGTTGCACTTAACAGACTCCAGGAATCAACTCCGCTCTCAGTTCATGGAGGTGTAGTTATGAGCCAGTCTCTGATGCCGCCTCTCCTCTGGGGTCTCTTCCTTGTAGAAGATGAGGAAGAGGATGATGAGGAAGATGAAGAATTAGATGACGACGCTGTAGATGATGAAGACGAAGATGACTTGGATGGCGAAGAAGAGGAGAATGGGGGCGATGATGAGGTGGGTGGTTCCAGGGGGTCCAATCGCTCACCTTCTGTGCAATTTCTTCACGTTGAAGGATTGGTTTGTGCTCCGTGTGGAAGGTGCTTAGATGCCAGGCCTTTGCAGCTGCCTGAACTAAAAAAGATTTTTCCCAAAGCAGAGACCCACGGAGGTCTTTTTAGTGAGATTTGTTAAGATGAAAGAGTCTGTGCCACAAGAATTCCAGCAAGTGAACTGGTTTTGAATTTGGAGCTGACGTGTCTGGCGTGTGCACACCTTGACTCTGGTGTGCTAGAAGGAAGGCCACTGGTCACGTCTGCGGTTGGTTGTCTGCATAAAGGTCCCTTGAACCTAGAAACAGGCTCCTTGTGGTTCAGTTTATTCTCCTTCTGCTGGGGAAATGGCAGAGCTGTTCCCGCAAGGGACTCGCCTGAAGTAGAACTCCAGGAGACCAGCTTTTTTGAACTGGCCTGTCGCTCACTCTAGGTTCCTCCTGCCCTCGTGATCTTAGAGCAACTTTTGCAGGCCCAAAGAAAAGGCGAGTGGATCCCAAACAAGGTGCGCCCAGAGGATGTATTTCTTCTGTAAAATAAAGAAGATTCCTCTTTGATTTGGAACACGATAGCAAAAATGGCTCCCTGCTCTCTTCTCGGGGAACGCTCTGCCGCTAGGAGGTCAAACGCGTTCAGTTTAAAGCCCTGCTCAGGATGTTGGTGTCCTGTACGTAAGGCGGGAATTTTAGGTTCCAAAATACACCCTAAAAAACTGGGTTTCAGTTATCCGTGGATGGGCTTACCTGCTCGTAGATCCAGTGACCGATTTGGCTTCGCTGCGAACGGTGGCCTAGGGTGGGGGCTGACGTTTTTAAAAGTCAATGCTCCTTCCTCCTTCAGGATGAAGATGATGAGGATGATGGAGACGATGATGAGGATGACGAAGAAGAAACTGGTGGGTATATTGCTCTGGTTTCTCTGAGACGGAATTGTGTAAGGGTTGGGAGGTACCTTTGAGTTCATCTAGTCCAGGGTTCCTCAACCTTGGAGACTTTAAGACGGGTGGACTTCAACTCCCAGAATTCACCAAGGTTGAGGAACCCTGATCTAGCCCAACCCCTGTCCCACCAGAGCAGTGAATCCAAGTCCCCAGTTCATTATTAGATACCCCTAAGCAACCCACGATGGCTGGGTCCCTAACTAGTGCCAAGCCATTATTTTAACCATGATTTGATGGATAAATCTTACCCTGGGTCAGCCAACACACTAAGCAATGCGGTTTAAAAACTGCATTGGCCGGATTCCGTCAGGATGCATAACCTGGTCCAAACAAGCCATGATGTCGCAGTTCCCCTGTTGCAGTGAACCATCCCGCAACCGGTCCGGCTCAGTCAGCGGCCTTTGCTTAAACAAAGCGCGGCTTGATGGAAAGGGGCTGGCCTGGTTAACCATGGCTTGCTGAGCAACCGGGGTGGGGTGGGAGCCTACCGCGTGCGCTTCAGTGGGTTTTAGGAAGGGGACCTCGGTTGCCCAGGGCAGCATCGCTGTATCTATAACCCGTGCTTGAGGTGACGCAGCCTGCAAATGTACCGTGGGCTTTTTGAAGTTGGAAGTTCATCTGTCTGCCGTGGCTACTTCATGTGGCTTGCAACAGCCCTGGGGGTTCGGGTGGGGGAAGGAGGGGGCTGGGCCTCTTCACCCCACCCCACCCCACCTCACCTCTGAACGCTGATCTCGGGGCCACCGTTGTTCTTCAGGGATCCCCGCTAGTCCTTTTTCTGTAGCAGATGCAGCTCTTGGTCCCCTAGGGCGATCCGACCAGCAGTCGAGGGCATCTCTGCTGCCCTCAGAACATCCCTCCTGGCGTTTCCTTTGCCAGGAAGAGGGTCCTGTGGCGGCAGGGATAGGACTCCGGTTTTCTGCCTCAGCCAACCTGCCCTCCTTGGTCTCCTTTCCTTGCAGAGGTCCAGCGGGGCGAGAAGCGGAAACGGGAATTTGAGGAAGAGCCCTATGAAGAAGAGGATGAAGACAACGACGACTGAGACCTCCTCCTTCCTCCTGCTCCTCTTCCTCCTCGGCAGGCCAATCCGTTTTTTTGCGGACTGTGACTTTCCTGGCCTCACCGTCCCCCTGTGTGAGACTGTGACGAATCCCCCCTCTGCCTCCCGGCCACCCGCTCTTTTGTACGGCTGCAACACCCACAGTATATATTTTTTTAAGATGTAGAAAACGATAGGTGTTTCAGGAGAAGTTGGATTTTTGTTAGCTTCCCCCCCGCCCCCTCCCTCGATGCTCCTGCAGTGCACCCCTTCCTCCTTTTTCCACCAGTCCCTGATATGGGGTATTTGGCGACCAAAGGCTTACTAATTCGAGGGCAGGTTTGGTGAGCCTGCAGTGATTTGTGTTTCTCTCTTCCCCCCTGCCCCCACTTTGGCCCCCCTCCGTGACTGCCCTGGGGTCTGATCCAGGACGCATTTGGACACGGCTACTCCTGGTTTCGGCAGAAAAGCAGCCCCGCGGCCCCCAAGCCGGCCACGGGCACCCTGCTCTGCCAGGAGGGCTGAAGATGCAACTTTCTGGAGGGCACGTGGCGCAGATGTGGCCATCGGATGGATCCCAGATGCTGGGCCCTCCCTGCAGCACCGTGTCTGCGGCGATGCTGATCAGGATGTTAGGACTGGATTGTCGGTTGTTTGCTGTAATTTTTATTTTGCTTGCCTGCTTTTCTTCCCTGGTTTATTCCTTACTGGTCTGTGGCCCTCAGGAGCCAGGATGACTCTTGCTGTTCCCCTTAGAGTTCAGCTGGCCCCAAATGGGCGTGCTCCAGATGTGTGGGGCAGCAGTTCCCATCGCAAGCCACACAGCAGGGAGAGTTTGGCACCCGTGGGGGAAGCCCTGCTAGAGTCAGGATAGCAAAAGCAAAATGGGGAGGTTGTGTCCCCCCCCAAAGAACTGCAGTTAAAAAAGTGAGATTTCTGCAGTTGCGAGCCCTATTTTGTCTTTCTTTTTTTGTACAGTTCCGTACAAACCTGGCTGGGGAACGCTTTGCGCAAACAACAGAAATCTCACAGCTCAAAGTTCGGAGCTGTGGTTGGCGTTTCCTCTCCTTCCCTGCTCCTGGCCGATGGTGGTTTGAGATTTACGTCTTAGCCCTAGTTTACAAAGTCAGCCCAGATTTGGTCAAAACTAGTCCCATACATAAATATCTTCCCCTCGGAATTTTTGGTCCTCTTTTATATATCTCCTTTTTGTTAAGAAATTTGAATAAGACTTTTAATAAAAGACTTTGGTTTTTAAGAAGTAACTATGCATAAGATGATGTGTTAAGTTTGATTACGGGGGTTGCACCCGCTTTTGGGGGGTGGGGGGGAATTTGAGGGGGTTGGCCCTTGAAGGAGAGGCGGCGGGTTTGAGACCACGGGCTTTGTTAAAGAGGTCGGGATCCAAATGTCAGGAACAGAGCTGTGGATGCTCTCGTGTTTGTGCGTGAGGCTTCTGAGTCGCAGTGCTTACACGGGAACAGCGCATGAGAATTTGGAAGCCCCTTGCAGTGACTGAGCTCACTCGTTATGGGAGGGCCCCTTAAGGCCGGCCGTCCAGCCCTGCTCAGCAGCGCAAGGAGGTGGCCATCCAGCCTCTTTAGAGCATTGGTTCCACTGCTGAACTGCCCTCCCGGTTAGGGAGTTTCCAACAATAAGGCATGGCTGGCTTCACTGTGGTTTATGAAATAAAACAGCTGCACTCCCAGGAGCCGTGGAGCCCCATGCCACACCTTGCCAACCCCATGGTTCTCAGCTGGAAGTGGACTGGGGCATCAACGTGGCCTAAGGTGGGGAAGGAGGGGTCATCGAGGAGTAAGCTGGGGAGGCGGGTAATTCCCCAGATACCTTGCGAGCCCTTGAAGTTGGCTCTTGAGCGGGTGGGCAGATCTTTCAAGCCAAGCTTTGGTGGTGTGCCGGGGCAAGGACAGGAATGGCAACCCTCTTCTGCAAGAAGATTCTGAGGCTGTTCTAGGCTGCCAGGGCCTCCAGATTAAAGCCAACCAGGAAGCTTGCGTGCCACGGCTTTGCCCGGCCTTTCCCAGCTGCTGGTATTTGGGGTAGAGCGCCCCTGAGCACGGGCTTGTTTTGCTATGATCTGGTGGGGGTAATACGCCTGTAAGGAGGGAGGGGCATACGGCAGTGGGGGCTTGCTTACGCATACCCATTTTATGCACCCCCACAGGATGCAGGCAGGATTTGACCCAAGCCACGTGAGGTACTTGTCCTCTGAACCTGAAATGCCCACCAGTTTTGGGTTCTAGAAACAGGATTTGGAGCATGAACAACTCTGGACGCATCTCCGTTTTCTGGAGCTCTGAAAGGAACTTGGAGAACAAGGTGAAGCATTTCAATGCAGGGCTGGGTCTTGACAGGAGGGGCAAGGACTGAATGCTTCAGCTGTGCATCTTGCACAAAAGGGTGGTAACGGTGGATTGTAAAGAGACTTAGAGCTACCTTTGTACAACTTGCTCATCTTAGTTTCAATCTGAGTTGGGTTTAGCATGTTCTGCAAACTCGGCTTATGGTTCAACGTATTGCGCAAACCGATGGATCATCGAACAAAGCCCGGTATTCTCACTCCAGGCACAAGTGATGAGGCTCAAATCATCCTACTTAGGACACACGATGATGTGAAGAGATGTGAAGACCCGGCAGCTCTCTGGAGGAGGCTCTGGTGCTGGGAGAGGCAGAAGGAAAGAGAAGAGGATGACCAGCAGCCAGCGGGTGGGCTCCATGAGACGGGCGATGGGGGTACCCTTGGAAGGCCTGAAAGACCAGAGTGGGGACTGATCCACCTGGAGAAAATCTATGTGGTTGCTAGGAGTTGAAAACTTGACCGCACATCATCATCATCATTGTGCAAACCAGGAAAAGAGTTACTCATAACCAGGTTAAGTATCATGAACAGAGCCCATGAACCCTAAGCTTAACTACCTGGTGTGCATGATGTGCTAGGCTAAAAATACAGTTGGCTGGCTTGTGGTGCAGTACTTGGAGCACTGCCAGGGTGGCTGAGTCCACCCAGCACCTGAAGCCACAGCTGGCTTAATCATGGTGTACTGACTAAGCCATAGTTGGTTGGCTTTACATGTCCTGCTGAGCCATCATGTGTTTCGATTCGACTTGGCAGTCGCCCCTCATCCCACCCCCATGCAACCTGGTTCCATGTTTTCACTCTGGGACCTTCCCCTCCCTGCAGCTTGGCTGGGAGAGGTTTGGCCCACGGTCCCATCTTCCACCTCCTCCCTGCCCAGTGGCTGTTTCCATCTTCCCTAGCAAACTGCCTCCGACGCAGAACGGCAAAGCTGCCAGGTAAATGAATTTTGATGCTGAAGTTGCTGAGTAACCACGGTCTGGCTAACCCAGAGTTGCAGATCTCCATTGGCAAGCAGTGTCTTCCACATCGCTGAAGTCTGAAAGCCACGTGGTTGCAAGCCCTCAAGGCCACAGTGGGAGCGCCAGTTCTGGGCTCGGGTCGTACGGTGGCAGTGCTGAGGTGCGGCGGGCAACGTGCTGAGCGCTCCCGGAGGAAAAGGGGAATCGGTTGCTGCTGATCGACTGGAAAGGACCGAGAGGAGCCGGCACCATATCTGGGCATCAGGATCAAGGGACCGGCCACTAAAGAGGGTGCGAAGATGGCAGGGAGCTGCCAGCCTGGGCAGCTGGTAGCAAAGTGCTCCTTTGGGGGATTTTTCCTGTATGAGATTTTTTTTTTTTAAATAATGGGTGGAGGTTTTAGGAGGATTTAAAGTGGAGGAGTCCCATCCTGGTGGGGTCTGGGGTTCAGGGACATGTCTGGAGAGCAGCAGGACCAGCCTGGAACCTGGTGCAGCCTCCCTGTTGTGAGGCACATAAACAGCGTGTGGCTTCGGTTGCGCCGCTGTGGCTGTCATCTGGGCCCTTTTTGGCTCCCATGCCAGTGGACCCCCCCCCCCCCCCGGGGTTCTGCTTTCTGGAAAAACAGTCTTCCAACTGGACCTGGGGGGAACCAAAGCACCACCTCATTTCAAGCCCCTAAGATCAGTGGCCAGGAGCCCCCCCCCCACTTTTCCCTCCATTGGGAGCAGGAATAAGTGAGGGGCAATGAAAATATTGGTGTGGCCAAGACCCATTGAGATGGTTATCTTCAGGGCCCCTCAAGAGCCTCTCACCGCATCCCTCTGGTGTCACTGCCCAGATGCGTTTGAACCCTGCTGGCAGGGATGTAGCCACTACCAGCTGATCTTGGAAAGCTATTTGGGGTTCTGGTCCATCTTTGGATGGGAGACCACCAGGAACTCCTCTAGCTGTAGGCTGGGCTGGGTTGCCCCCGAGCCATCCCTCTTTTCACCAAGGAAGTCCACTGATTTCCATGTGCTCAGCTTGACTCTCTAACCTCTTTTTTCACTCAGGAGAGGATGTGTTGGGGGGGCCGGCTGGCAAAAGGGTGCCATGCAGGGGGGAGCCATCTCCTTCAAACATCCCGACTGGGGGAAAGAAGGGGAAGCCCTGCCCCTCAGCTGGCCGGGGAACGAAGCCTTGGAAGGGGTGCACAATTTAGCGGGAGCTAAATTGCCCGGGCTTCATCTTTGGAAACTGGCAACAGGTCAGGGAAGGCGTGATTACAAGCGGGATCCCCATAAGACTTTTGCATCTTTATGGGCCTCTAAAAGCATTGCCCGCCTCGCCCCCCCCCCCCC